AATGGGAATTGGTTTTTGGAGAGGACGCCGACGAGGTTTTTTTGGACGAAGGAGAGCCCTGAAACTGTGGAATAGGTCGGGAGTGTTTTTTAACTCGTCTAATTAAAATTTAGTTTTTCCACAGTTTCCACAGCAGAGATATCCAGAAATTTGTTCCAGAGAGTAAGAGAAACAATTTCACTTATAAATTATATTGGAGTATAGAAATGTCATTTAAATTGAGAAAATTAAAATTCATGAATTAACATAATTGCGATAGGCCTTAAAAATTGAAATTATTAATGATCATTAAATTAAAAATAGAATAGTACGTACCTTAACTTCCGAAGAGAGGATTGATATTCCAGTTTCACCGATTATTTTTGAGTAGTTAGTTTCCTTTAAAGAAATCAGAACTGTTTTAAAGTGAGGTTGGACAATAATTTTGGGGATCATTTGAAAATTGAAGAGAGGATTGATATTCCAGTTTCACCGATTATTTTGAGTAGTTAGTTTCCTTTAAAGAAATCAGAACTGTTTTAAAGTGAGGTTGGACAATAATTTTGGGGATCATTTGAAAATTTGATTATATTTGAGTATCAGCGGAATAAAGTGTTCATTTTCTTTTTCTTTATAGTTCATTTAAACACTTTATAAAGTTGCAATATTTATTTAGTTTTTAGGTACTTGTAGAGAGTCTCCACATTTTGTAATACATTTTATTGTCACGTCACTAAACCACGTTAAGACTTAAACGATTCCTATTTTTGTAAATTTTTAAAGGCAACCGAAGTTGCAGACGAATTTTATTGTTTATATTAAATTTGTTCAATATTAATAAATAACGTGCTTCATTTGGGTTAATTTATCAAAAGTCTAAAGTAAAGTTTGGTTTAATTTCTTTTGAACTCTACCAGGAGACTACAGAGTCGACGTCACACAGTGACAGATTGCTTAGAATACATAATTGAGCTAGCTGAGGTATATTAAATTAAACAACGAACCACATATTATAAAAATAACATTTATTATAAATAAAAATAAAATTAATAAAATACAACTTTATCAATATATATATATATATATATATATATATATATATATATATATATATATATATATATATATATATATACATATATATTATTTAAATTTTAAAAATATTTTTTAATATAACTTGTTATTTTTAAACATTTATATAATAGGTAATTAAATTTACTACCAAAATGATGTTTATTTATATTTTCATAATGTGATATAAATATTATTTAATATAAACAAAATATTTGATTTTTGCAAGTGCGATAAAAAGAGTTGTTCATAAAACATTTTCATATTTTATTCAGTCACAGCGGAAGTGTCCATTTGTGATTATAAAGAGGGAATGGCCGTTAGGTATACAAAATGTCAAAACTGATCATAATCTGTTATTTTGATTTTTGAACTGTTTTATAATTTTTTGTACAGAAAACGTGAAAAAGATCTTACTAAGGAAGGTCATAAATCATGAAAAAAGTTTAAAAAAGATACACCTACAAAAACTGCTGCTAAATTGAAATTTGAACATATTATGCAATTTTAAAGATAATAGTAAAAACAGCAATTTTGTTGATTAGGATAAAGCTTTACAGTAGTCTTCAGTACCGCCTACTGAATCCTTTTTTTGTATATTTACTTGTCTAGTGTAACAAGAAATACAATATTTGTATTATTTAACCACACCCTTACATAAACGTGTAAATAGTTATATAATAACTGTATAAATCATTAGCTACTAACCAGATAAACCGAAGAACCTTTAAATCTATATGAAGTCCTCTCTAAAAAATTCAACTTTATATAGATCACATCCTCCACAGACGACTTCTTACTCAGATTGATCGATTTTTGTCAGGCGTGCGTGTGTAAAAAGCTCGAATTACCTACTACCTTCTAATGCACTCTCTGGGTCTGTTTAATATAGCTTAGAATTATATCGTGACTATGATGGAGCACATACTATACGTTGATATACTAAATGAAGGATAAACTTGTTAGATATTGATCTCATGTAAAACATAAGAAATAAATGAAAGTGTAAAAACTACAAAACTATTTTAAACAAGTTCACGTACGAAGGTAGTTAATTGGAAGAAAGGAAGTATCAAATATGTTGCTTCTAAAATTTACATTAACATCTAACCTTAAAGATATATATCTAATATATTCAATAACGATTATTTTAAATTACAAACAGGCATGCAGGTTAAAATTTTTATTTATCCGCATCAACCGCTAGGGTTATTATCGGTAGGTTTATGAAACAAATAGAAAAAATTAGATACATTTTAAAAGACATGACTTACAACAACATGGTACAATTTACATGTATGTAAATGTAACAAAAATTACATCACAATTTATTATAGAGTTTACAGTAATTTAAAAAAGACAGAACTTCATTGAATTCTGTATCCAGTGCTTCTTTTAGGCTGTTGGGTTTCTTGAATATAGACTTGGCTGAGGTGTACTCTGGACATTCTATTATTATATGGTTGACTGTGAAAGGTGTTTGGCATCTTTGGCACATTAGTGGTGGTTATTTGGAGATTATGTAAAAGATTTTTCTTTTCCAAGTGTCATTTCAGTCTTTTACTCAATATTCTCTCCATTCCTTTGCAAATGTTACTGGTAAGAGATATTGGACGATAGGAGGATGGTAAGTTTTTTGGTTTATTCATTTAAAAAAAAGAACTATAATTGCTTGACGCCATATTAAAGGAAACGTTTTATTTGTGTAAATATTGTTAAAGATGTCAACTAAAATTTTCACTACTGTTTCAGGTAATTTCTCAATAAATATTATTGCATCTGGTCCTAAAGAATATATATTAGCATTACCTAGGCCATTGTTTAACTCGTCTAGTGTAATCGGTATATTCAGAGGGCATAAAATATCTTTTATTTTGATTTGTGATAATTTGGTTTTTCTTTGAGTTTTAAAAATGTAGAGTTGTATTAATCATTGCTTAAATATAGTTGATAGTGATCAGCTAAGATTTCTACAATTTCTAGTTTATCTGAAGTAATTAAATTATCTGTAGCAATGGTGTCGATATGATTAATTTTGGTTGAGCCTTTTATTTTTCTTATTTTCTGCCAAATATCACTTATTGGTGTAGATGAATTTATTGATTAGACGTAATTGGCCCAAATTTCTTTTTTAAATATTTTGATTAAAAATCTAGACCTGACTCTTACCGCTCTAAATCTAGCTAAGTTAGTTTCGGAATTGTGTTTTTTCAATATACTAAAGGAGTGTTTTGTTTCTTTCAAAGGATTTTCTATTTTGATATTTTACCAGGGTAGGGTGTTTTTGTGGTAGCTTTAGTTTTTACAATCGCTTCTCTAGCTGAATCTATTAGGATATCATTAAAATTTGTTATTGTGATGTTTATATCTTCTAATATTTTAGTCTATCTAAGTCTTTTATTCGTTTAGTTATTAAGCTAGTGTACATTTCCTAATCCGATGATTTTAATTTCCATGTTTCATATGGTTTTATAGTAAAGTTTATGTCTTTAGTATCTCTTT